TTGCCTGCCATTCGCTTTTTCTAAGCTTAGAGTCTAAAGGAGTTGTCACTCTGGGCTGCTCAGGGTCCCTTGGGCCCCCTGCAGGACACTCACCACCCTCCAGTGTAACTGCCTGGCTCCAGGTCTGGCTCTGGCAGGAGCGGGCTCTGCAGGGCTGGTGGCATTGTCCCCTCCATCCCGGCGCCTGGCACAGGGCAGCGGAGCACAGCCTGGGTAAGACCCAGCCGGCTGAGCGGGCGGTGGGAGGTCGCTCGGTACGGCGGCCATGGCTCGCAGAGTCCAGCGCCTCACGTCCCCGTGGTCCTCTAATCCCCTGGCCCCCAAACCGGCTCAGGCAGCAAGAAGACCGCTGGGGAAGAGCCAGCTCTCCCAACCAGGGTCCCTTTCGTAGGAATTGCCCCTGCCAGGCGCGCACCTGTCCACCCGTCGGATCAGCCGCTCCCTCGGCTTTCGGTCCACATGCGTTTGCTCCTCTGCGGAGTCACTTTACCCAGGAGCCCTCACAAGACCAAGGGGGAGAAGAGCGGAGGTTTAGGAACAGCGAAGAGAGAGCACCTGACCCTGAGCGCAGGCGCCGGCCATCTGATGCGCCCGGAGAGGTGGCTGGTTTGCCCGGCCTGCTCCTGTCCGTGCCCAGCCCTCTGCCCTTCGAGAAAGTCCCCTCCGGCCTGGGTTCTGATTCCTCGCCAGCCAAGCATCCCCTCTTTGCCTAAGCACATTCCCCAGAGTAAAGACCAAAGAGTAAGGGGAGGGGGGCCCCTCCGCATCTGTTTAGGGATGAATGTGTAGGGGGTGCAGGTGGAGAGGCCCCTGGGAGCTCCCGAGTGAGCTCTGTCCTTTAATCCACCCAGGACCCCTAAGGGGTCAATGCCATTGGCTGTCCCTGTGGCCCAGATGAGGAAGCAGCAGAAGATCCCTGCCCAGGGGCACACGGCCACGAAGGATACAATTCAAACCCAGGCCTCTCTGCCACCAAAGGCCACACCGTGCATTGAGGCCCACTGAAAACGCAAGTTGACCAGTTCCATAGGCCCTGGGGCTTGGCTGGGGGGGCTGAGGGAGGGTGTTGGTGACACCCACCCCTCCCCTCACCCTAGCCCTTCATTCCTGACAGCCTGGCTGTGGCTGAGACTCCTATCTGGTATCTCTTAGATTAGCCCCCAGCTATTTTTATTCTGCCTTCTCTTGGAGAAGAAACACGGCCTGGGAACCCTCACGCAGGGCCCCAGGGAGACCATCGTTAGCCAGGGGGGAAGAGAGCTTATTTCACCATCTTTTTTCCTTAGAAGCATCTCCAAATTGAGTCGCCTGCCAAACTGCCTTGAGCAGGGCTCCCTACGTTCACCAACGCAAAGTAAGGACGCCTGCTTCTCAGAGCAATGCTGACCTGTGTCTGTTGAAGTCTCACCGTCTGGGATCCTGGGAGGAGGTGTCAAGAAGAGGGGCTTAGTGAAGGGAAAAGGGACCCCGGAAAGAAAAATGGGAGGCGTGTGGGGACGAGAGGGAAGCCTGGAGAAGGGCCGGGCTGCGCGTGGAGGGGGAGATCAGGGACAGGTGAGGTGGAGGAGCCTCAGAGACATCTGATGGAGATAGAGGGGTCCGGAGGCCACCGGAGGCGTCTGCAGTGGAGGGGTCACTCTGGAACTATGATGATGCGCCCCTAGGTGTCAGAGCTGCGGGCATGGAAGGCCTCGCCTCTGGGAGAATAGAGGGAAAGCGAGGACCTAGGGCAGCTTTGGGGGCAGACTCGAAGGTGGAGAAAGAAGGGCGGCAGGAGCTGCCGGAGGAGCCAGAGACAAACAAGAGCGTTGTTATCACAGAGCAGAGGTCTCGGGAAGAGCCAGTGACCAACGGGGGCAGCGACCGCTGAGGATGAGGACAGGTGGGGCAACACCCTCCAGGTGGGCGGCCTGGAGGTAACTGATGGCCACGGCAAGACTTGCCCTGGGGACAGTGACGGCAGCAGGCGGCAGGTGGGAGTGGACAGCGAGTGGGGAGTGAGGAGCGAAGCCTGGCACAGGGGTGGGCTGTGAGGCAGCCGTGAGCGGCCGGCTGGAAGCAAGCTGGGCCATGTCCTGCCCCGGGGGAGCGCTGTACCCCTCCGGGTGCTCGGGCACCGGCATACAGGCACCGTTGCCATCTGTATTGTCGCTAAGGGCAGGAGACTCACACTTGCGCGTAGTCCCAGGTGTCTCACACACAGCGGGAACTCAACAAATAGTACACACGTTCTGTCGTGAGCAAGGGAGCGTCCCCTAAAGGAGTCACTCGCACACGTTTGTGTCTTTCCACAAGGCCAGGTTTACAGGGGAGACCCCCCAGTAAGTCAGCAGAGTCCCACTCAGGTCACACACGGAGCGGGGGAGCTCACTAGGTAGAAGCGAGCGGAGCGAGGGTCTGGCGTGAGGTCTGTCACCGGCGGCACCCGCACGGGGAGCGGCGGGTGGAGTGGCAGGTGTCAGTCTCAGGTCAGGTGGCTGCAGTGATGTCACGTCTGGTTCACTGGAAGTCCAGCCGGGGCTCTGAGCGTGACCCCTGGGACAGCCATGCTCAAGAGTTGGGTGGTCAGAGCTGAGTTTTTATAGCCCATAATGGTCAGATATCCCACCCGTATCGGTGTCCAGACTTGTGGTTTGGGGCACTCCAGGCCCCTCCTAAGGGGGTTTCCCTTTCACCCCTTTACCTCAGTTTTGACACAGCACTTGGCATAACTGTCGTGGCTGATGGCGACCCCATATTGGATTGTCGAAGGTGTCCGGAGTCCACTCTGCTCATGCTCTGTACACTTTTGACGACGGTAACAGTGCTGATGACAATGATGAAGACAGCGATGAAAAATACAGATTCTTGCCTGGCCGGCGTGGCTCAGCGGTTGAGCGTCGCCCTAGGATCTGGGAGATCGCGGTTCATTCCCGGTCGGGGAACGTGCCCAGGTTGTGGGCTCGACCCGCAGTGGGGGCCTGCAGGAGGCAGCCGATCAGTGACTCTCATCACTGATGTTTCTCTCCCTCCCTCCCTCTCCCCTCCTCTATCTGAGATCAATAAAGACATACTTTTAAAAAAATACAGATTCTTGAAGATAAGGAAATCTCATTTTAGGAAGTAAGAGAGCAGCAGCGGGACTGCTGGGCTTCACCAGTCAGAGCGCCTCCTCCGTCCGGTCCCTCCCTCTGTCTCGCCTGCTGCCTCCTCTCTGTTCCTTTCCTCCCTCTATACTCAGGTCTCACCCAACCTCACGGCTTAAATCCCGGCTGCCAGACGCGGCCCAAAGTTACACCGCTCGCCCTGCTTGGTCTCCCGGCCTCCAGACCTACACGCACCTGCGCGCCTGCCATCTCAAAACAGGCATCTCGAACCCCGTGCGCCCAGCACCTCACTCCCGATCGTCTTTCTCCCTCCGCTGCTTAGGCCACAGATCTCTTTTTTTTTTCCTCGCATTCCTTCAAGACCGATGTCCATCCCTTCAGGAGACCCTACCCAGTCATATCCAGATATGACTACCTCTCTCCAAGTCTACTGCTACCAGCCAGGTACAAGCCACCGTTGTCTGCCACCTGGACAGCTGCAATTGTCCTTCTAACTGGTCTCTCTGCTCTGCCCTTGTCCCCTTCACTTTGTTATTAACCCCTAAGTCATATCAAGTCACTGCTCTGCTCAGAGCCCTCTAGTGGCTCCCATGTCTCTCGGAGCACAAGGCCAATCCTTCCAATGACCTGTATGGCCTTTCGTGACCTTGTCCCCCGCTGTCTCTCTGACCTGTGGTGTTTCTTCTCCCCCATTCCTCACACTCTGGTCTGGACACAGTGGCTTCCTTGCTATTCCCCAAGTAGGCCAGTCGTGCTTCGATTCTGCTCCCAGTTGTACCGTGTGGGTTCTTTCCACATCACCAGGCAAGTCTCCGACGCGAGCTGGGTGTCCAATTCGATGCACTTCTGCCACTAGCTGCCTGGAGATAGTGTCACATCCCCAAGGTTGAAGGTCCAGTTCCACAAAACGGCCCCAACTCAACTCCACATCAGATGCCAACTGGAAGTCCAGGGTGTCGCCTGTGATTCTGACCGACAGGCTATAGACTAGAGGTTCCCACGACCCCCTCCTTGGGTTCAATAATTTGCTAGAGTGGCTCACAGAAATCAGAGATATTACTCACTAGATCACTGGTTTATTATAAAGGATGTAACTCAGGATCAGCCAGATGGAAGAGATGCGGACAGCAAGGCATGGGGAAGGGGTGTGGGGCTTCACGCCCTCGCCGAGCACACTCCTGACACCCTCCTGAATCTGCAGGTGCTCACCAGCCCAGGAGCTCTCTGAACCTGTCCTTTTGGGTTCTATGGAGGCATCACAAACGCACGATTGCTGGATTCACTGGCCACTGGTGACTGAACTACACCTTCAGTCCCTGTCCCTTCCTCAGAGGTCAGAAGTGGGCCCGAAAGCTCCAACTCTCTAATCACAGAGTTGGTTCCTCTGGCAACCAGGCCCCATCTTGGGGTGGGGTTCAAAAGTCATTCAATTAACATAACAAAAGACATATTCATCCCTCTCCTCACAAGAAATTCCAAGGGTTTTAGGGGCTTTGGGCCAGGGACAGGACTAAGACAAAATATATATTTCTTATTATAAATCACAATAGCATAGATGCCTTTGCTCTAGCTGGTCCATGTGGAGCCCTTTTCCCTTGGCTGCCCATTTAACTGTGTGTGGTGTGTCCCCAAGTCTTTGTTCAAATCTTACCTCAGTGAGGCCAGCTCTGAGCACCCTGCCTAATGACCACGCCTACGTTCCGATCTCCATTAGCCTGCTCCGTCCCCAAGCACTTACTTTCTAACACAGTGAATGACGTATTGATGTGTTAACTGTTACCATCTGCCCGGCCTTTCCCCACATACTGTAAGTTCAGTGCCCACGGGGAATCTTGCTCGTGTTCACCATGTATCCCTCACACAGTGCCTGGCACAAAGTAGGTGCTTCGTAAATACTTGAATGAGAAATCTCTCTTGACGGCTCTATGCTTTTAATTCCTTGTCAGCTAATTAAAATGTTGAATACAAGCTTGCCTTACTGTTTAACAGTGGAAAGTGATCTATGCAATGTCTTCCAAAACCTAGATATAAAAGTAAGCTTTGTACATTTCTTTTGTTTAAAACCTGGTATTTGGTTTTTTTAAAAATCCCTAAGAGCATTTCACATGGACCGACGGGGTTAGTCCTACATTCGCCAAGACCATAGAGCAAGTGTGAACAGTGCCCCCTCATGGTTGAACGTGGGGACGGCCACTTCCTGCACAGCGGTGCAAGGGACGGCTCTTAACCCCAAGGGCTGATGGCAGTTGTAAGACAAACGTTATCAATGACATTTCAAAATGGGTCAAATTCAACACTATTTTCAGGAGGCAAGTAAGAGAGGAATAAAGTGTCACAGGAAGAATTTTGAGGAGTACGGAGCCCACACGTTCCATATTGTGAGGAGGATGTTGACAATCAGCGGGAAGCAGTAAAGAAAAACGTTAAGACGAGAAACTCCTAACTTGATCACACCCATCTGCTGCCCTTACAGCTGGAATCTGAGCGGAATTTCCCATCTGTGCTTTAGTCTCAGCTTTAACTTGACTATAAATAAGACACATGGGCGCCCAATTTACACCCAGTGTCTTCTGGGGCCATACGTTGTCTAAGGCTGGTATCTATAAGGTGTAAACACAGGCCCACACTTCGACTCCAGAGCTACTCAGGAAACTAGTCAGCCTGCAGTGTGCTGCGTCTCCTAACACGGTCCCATGACCAGCTGGCACTTCAGACCTGAGGCCTTAGCTGTGGCCCTGCCACCCAAACACATCTAACAGAACTCCGGTGCCCGGCCAGCTCTCCCCAAAGCCCCGGCTGTCGCTACAGAACCCTCGGGCCCAGAGTTCTGCATCTTGAAATGCCACTGCTCAGTCACACGGAAGCTGTACTTGCTACTGCACATTCTCGTTTGATTCTCGAATGGACTCCGCGAGTGTCTATGTCGACTATGGGCCCCATGGTACAGGTGGGGAACTTAAGGCTTAGGGACATAAGGTCACTTGCCCATGGCCATGTGGTCCATTAGTAGTGAAGACTCAGAGCCAAGTCCTTGAGCCAAGCTTCAAAGTCCACGCTCTTCCCACTCTCCCCTCTGCCTCCACACTACCCTTCCAGGGCCTCTGGGGCTATAAATAGTGGGGAGGCTGGGATGCATGTGCAAGGTGAGCCAGGCCTATGGCACAGAGAGACACTAACATCCCCAGCCTGGCCGAGCCAGGGCCCTATCCCCTTGGCCTCAACAGAACTCAGGCCCAGACAGGCCTCAGCTTATCACCAGCTTCACTCTCCTTGGTTATATTTAGCTCTGGACCTCAAAGAGAAAGGTGTGGGCCAGCCCCTGCGACACTGCACCCCCAGGCCAGCCCAGGTCGGGCTGCTGTGCAGAGGCTGTCTGCCTCAGCCTTTCCAGGGGTCGGTGAGCCTCCTCCAGCGGGGCTGCCGTGCTCCTTCCAGTGCCTGTGGGGCCTCACTCTCCGTGCTCCTTGAGGGAGGGGCCGTGGCTGCTTTCTCAGTGTATTCGTAGCAGTCATGTCTACAACTCACTGTGCGCGCCTATGGCGCCACACTGCTTTGCTGGATGAACAAATAAATGATCAAAGTTCATGTCCTAGAAATCTGGACATCAAACACAGAGGCACACGGTTCCCAGAGGGAAACCCTGCAACGCCAACTGCATTTCACTCCATTAAACAGTCAAGTTTATTCAAGGAATGGACCAGAGTTTCCTTCCTCCCCCTGCCCCCTTCTCTCTTCCCTCCACCGAATCTGGCATGAAGGCCACAGTGGGAGAGGGAGAGAGAGGAGGAACATCAGATCCCAGAGGGCGGTCCACGCAGCAGCCACCCATAGTGTGCCATGGCTCTTGGAGTCCGTGTGTCCCTGTAGGGGCCCTGAGGACAGGCCTCCCTTGCTTTGCTCATCCTTTACAAGGCAGACACCTGCAAAAACCTGGGGGCCGTCTGCATCCGACCTGCCGAGCAACTGGAACCAATCGGGGGAGGTGGATCGGTTGGCAGCCTGGGCCAGAGCTCAGGAGTCTGGCGGAATCTTGACACCGGAGCTTAAAGGGCATACGCTGGCAGCTCTCGGCTCTTATAAAAATGGGAAGAGCCGCTTTTTTACAATATAGAGAACTGTAGCAAGAAAAAGGGCCAGGGCAAGGAAAATAAGAAGCTTGTCCGTCAGCTCTCGGCGATTATATTTTGTGATGAGCTTCCGTCCCAGCTGGATGGTCCCCGACATGGACTTAAATTCTTCGTTGGCATCCAGGATAGTCCGGGAGGAGTTGACTGAAACATAAGAGGGAAGGAGCCTGACTCAGAGACTGCTCAGCAGAAAATCCGAAGATGGCCCTGCTGGCCAGGATCCCAGTAAACACACTGCTCTCCGAAGCAGGTTCCCCGAGCCAGAAGCAGAGACGGAGAACAGAGATCAGAGAAGTGGAGCACAAGGCAAAACAAGGCATTGCGCTCCCCTGGTCCCACCCAGCTTAGAGTGCCGTGGTGCGTTCACATACAATGGCACAGGGCCATAACCAGGAGTCCTCCCGTGTGGACACCACCAGGGACAAGGGCAGAAGAGGCCTCTTCCCTACTGCCGACCTCCGTTTCTGAAGCAGGCGGGTGCTGCTGAGAGCCACCAACCACAAAACTACTCCAGGTGACCGGGGACCAGCCCCAGAGGTCTGTATGGGGACAGAGCTGGAAGGCACCAGGCCCTGCCAGGACACCTGCTGGCCAGACCTGCTCTCTGTGGGATCATGAAAGCCTGGGCTTGGCCCTGCCACAAGCCCTCACATAAGCAAGTCCTTCAGTCCTGAGACAGGCTGCTGCTTTAAAGATGTAACACCTGTGCTTAGACACTGAGTGACACCTAAGAGGAGGCACATGTTCCCTCAGGCTAGTCATGCCCAGGTGTCAACTTTACTGCTGAGTTTGGGTATGGGGGCCTGACACTTGGGGAAGAGGTTACCTGGCAAGACTATCCTATAAAGTAAAACAAGGCATCATCGGAACATCCACAGAATAAAACGTGTTGCTAAGTGGAGAGCAAAGCGTGAAGGAGATACGTGAAATGTTTCCATCCAGGTTAAGAAAGAGGCAGGTGGATAACATTTCATTTGCTTGTGCTGTCCATGCTTGGAGACCTCAGAAAAATGGAAAGAAACTGGTAACAGTGGTGCCCCTGAGGAGCAGACCTGGAGGTCAGGGGTCGGGGGGTCAGAGGGGCTGTCTTTCTGCTTCCCCCTTGCACTGTCCGAGGCTGCGCAGTCCAATATGACAGCCCTGGACCCATGAGGAACTTGAGTGTGTAAAATGGGGCGGATCCAAACAGAGATGTCTGAGTATAAAACAGCCACAGTTTCAAAGGCTTAGTATGAAGAAAAAGGAATATAAAATATCTCAATTATTTTTAATACTAATTGCATGTTGAAATGGTAATATTTTACATATAATGGGTTAAATAATATGCATTATTAAAATTAATTTCATGTTTTGTTTTGTTTTATGTGCCTCCTGGAAAACTGAAAGTTATACACATGGCTCACGGTGTTTCGGACGCTGCCGGCCTGGAGACTTTTCCTTAACCATGGAACTTACATTACCTTTCGCAAAGTCAAAAGTTAATAAGCAAGTAAAAGAAATTACTAGAAGACACAGAGAAGCACTCTGGAAAAGGCAGAGAAAGGGAGAAACGAACTCTGACATAAGAGCCCCTCAGCCCTCTCTCCATGCCTCTGCACTTCAGAACCTAAGTCAGAACCTGTTAAGTAAAAACCTAATAGGCCTTTCTTTGTAAACTTTCTTTATAGAGGACTTTAAAGCATCACAAAAGTAGACAGAATAGTATCATAAAATACCATGTGCCCATCGCCCCTACCCAAGAACCACGAGCTCCCTGGCAATCCTGTCCCCTAGCTACCCCCACCAGCAAATTCCAGATCGGGTCCCTAATAGGCTCTTTAAAAAAATTATGGCTCTACTGGCTATTAAATCAAGCTGAAGTTGTGAGCCATATGGAGATTAAGAACTGCATTTTTTCAACAGCTCTCTCCTACAAAATGTGCCCCCCAAACAGTCCTCAACACCCCAGGAACTATTGGCACCTGTGTGCCCTCCCCACCACCTAAATACACCGTCTGCTCCTGATGAGTGTGTTGGGGACAGGTGTCTGTCACCTGCATCAGAGCAGGAAAGCCCTGACTCAAGGCCAGACACCTCCTCTCTCTCACGTTCTCCGAGGGCTCTCCCCAGGCTCAGTCTGCGCATGCAGGACACACTCAGATGAGTGATCAGCTGGTTCTGAGCCTAAATGCCCGGATAAGTTTCACACACAGGGAGTCACCCTCGGGACAAGCTGCTAGCTTCCTTCTGCTTTTGCCTGTTTGAATTGTGCACTGAAAACAAAGGCGATTCAAACTGAAAGACTTCTTAGGGGTGGTAACGGTACTGGGGTCTTGGTTTTCTTTTGTTTTTTGTTTCAAAAGTCTCTTAGAGACACACTGAGATGTTTAGACCTGATGGCTAGGATTTGCTTCAAAATCACCCAGACAGGAGCACAGTGAGGACAGAGTTGAAACAAGACTGGATCAGCTGGTAATGGGTTCGTGGAGTTCATGTACCATGCTCTCTACTTCTGTGTGAAATCTTCCAAAGTGGCTCAAGGAGCAAACCCTCTTCTGTTTTCCTACATAGAGGGCCTTGGAGAGGCAGATTCTCTCTCAAGTCACAAGGGAGACATCGTGGGAAAGCTGCTGGAGAGCCACATGGTCTCAAGCAGCTTCTGTGGCCTCTGACTGGATCTTGTGAAAGGAGCTCATGGTAAAAACCATACGGGGGAGTGTAACTGTAAGCTGAGGTCCTAGCAGGTAAGCCGGCCGCCAATACCCTGAATATCTCTCTGGGTGATGACTCCCAAGGCAGCCTGGCCTGGTTGGTCCTGAGAGCCCTGGATAAAGCACAGACTCCCAGGCCCTCCCCAGCCCCACTTGCTGGCACCCACTGTGGATCTCTTGATTTTCACACGAGCCCCTGGCAGTGCTTCTGCCAAGGAAACCTTTAAATGGGGATGTACAATAAAAACCAAAGAAAAGAGCAGCACATCCCACTCTGGATGAAACCATGGGGTCTTGGAAGTGAGAAGCCACACGAGTCAGGAAGCCTCGATGGGAGGCTGAGGCAGGTGCCAGGCCATGGACCTGGAGCCACACCCCTGGGAGACGCTGCCCACTCCAGGCCTGGCTTTACCTAGCGTGTGCATGGCCTCCTCGCTCTGCTGTACCTGCTGGGACATCATCCTGCTGATCCCCATGAGGTTCTCTGTGATGGTGCTGGACGTCTGTGCCAGGTTCTCCTTGGTAGTTTTCCTAGAAGTCCAGAGCAGGAGGACTGTCAACAAGCCTGGCTGCAAGGAAGCCCCAATGCAAATGAGACCCCATGTTTTAATCTATCAAATGAATACAAATTATTTAAATGTTCATGGGCAATGCTGACAAGGGCGTGCTGAGTCCACACTCCTAAAGACTGCTACAGGGACGTCCATGGGTGCTGCCTTCTGTAACAGAGAGATACCTTTGCCTTAAGAGGTCTCCTCCCTGGAGAAGTTCTGCTTTCTCTAGATTGTCGATTGCGATCTTGCAAGTGAGATTCGCTTTCCTCCACGATGTCTGATTGCTGGAAGCAGAAGGGGCACCGGTGAGTTTCTGAGGATTCTGCTAGGTTGACAGTTCGAGTCCCAGCAGTTCTTCCTTCTGGCAGGGGGGGTGTTGGAGGGCACGCAGGGTGGCCCATGAAGTCCCTCCCCACCTCCCACTGCCTCCTCCTCTTAGTTGCCCCAGCAATTGCTCCAGCTCAGGCCCCAGCACCTCTCATCTGGACCCTGGCCATGTCCGGGATATTCTCCAAATGCCCACACTGTCCCTGTCCCCCGGGTAGCCTGAGGGAGCAGTCTGGCCATGGCACAGCTCTGTATGCAGCCTGCAAGGCTCTAGACTTCAGGGTAACCTCTGAACCCCTCGGCTGAGTACAGCAGGCCCGGTTTTGCCCAGCTCTCCCTCACACTTTTCTGTTCTGCCCTATATACAGTGGACTTTGATCCTCAAGACCCAGCCTCACCCATGCATGCATCACCGGCACCTACGACGACGGTTTCTGGCCCACCAAGTGCCCAGCCAGTACAGGTTGTAAGAAGTAGAAAAATCATGAAAAGCCAGTTTTGCTCAACGTTTCTTCAAAGTCCGCTGTTCTCTGCATACCACACACAGACTGCAGATGACACAAACACACTGAACCAGCAGGCCTGGTGCATTAGATTTATTTACATGTTTTATCCACTCTCCCTGGGAGGGACAACTCCAATTTGGTGAGCAGCAGCCTGGAGTTAGCAGCGCAGCCTTTGCGGATGGACCAGAAAAAAGTGAACTGGGCCCCCCAGAGCCCCTAGCCCAGACTCTAGAACTCTACACAGCCAGCTTGCATCAATGCGTGAACCCTGGAAACATTTCAGATCAAGCGGAGAGAACGGAACCAACAGGTGGTTTTCCACCAGCACCCGAGGCTAAGTCTTCAGATGAGCCCTGACACTGGAAGAGCGGCGGCTATGCACTTTCACACCTGATGTTTATAAAAAAATCAGTGACTTTTTCAAACTGGTAGCAAGGCAGTGCTACTGGGCCCTGCAAGTCAAGATGAAGAGCAACAGTGCCTGCCCTTGAGGGGCTCACACTTACTGGGAAGAAAGACAAGCGAGCCAATCTTTACTGTTCAGTGTGACTAGCGAGCACGGAGCCAGCAGGCACAGCTACTGCTTCCACACACAATCGCCAAAGCCTGGATTTACTGCCTCTCTCCTCTGCCCTCCAACTCCACAGCATGGATGGCCGTTCTCAACTTTCTACCCACGCTCAGCTGATTGTGTCCAGCATAACTTGCTATTTTATCCCAGGGGTCCTCTTTACTCAGCATTTGTACTCTAAGTGCCCTTGGTGGCCCCCGAGAGGCAAAAGTCATCATGACACAAAGCATCACTACTGAGCCCAGCACATTAGCACTGGTCGCCACTCACACCTCCTCCCTGCCACACTAGCCTCGAGCACACCCATGGCACTGTCAGCCTCCCTCCTCCTGATTGCTGGGTGTTGTAAACACAGCTGCTGTCAGCCAGGAAGATGCTGAGCAACATTCAAATCAGAAGCAAAGCCACAGACATGCACGGATGTGGCAGAGTTCAACCCACTACCAAGGATGAAGAGAACGCCTGGGGGGTGGCCCAGCAGGGGCTTTAAAAGAGAACACTTTGGCCACCAGAAGGTTGGGAAAGGTGATGAGCCCTCAAATATTTTTTCAATAAGAACTCTCTTATGATTATGGTGTGAAAGTCAAATGTGAAGGGACAGGCACTGTTTCAGACAATTTTGTTGGAAAAGTCCCCCAATTCAATACCAAGAAATAGCACATATCTTCAGTTACAGAATCAAGTATTAGCACACAGCCACAATAACCTCAACTTTATATAACAGAAGCTGAGTTACAGTCTTATTTCACTTTTTAAGATAAAGTCCCATTCACAATTTTCTAAATTTTGGTCCATCTTAAATAGGCTCTTTCAGTGGACTTCTCCTGGTAGTAATTCTCCTTACAGAAAAAGAAGGCATATTACATAGCAACCATTTTTTTGGTTTTGTTTTAAAAATATAAAAAACAGTATAACGCTAAATATGCTTTTGTAAACTATGCCCAGTTCCACCTACCCAACAGCCCCTGTTTGCCCTCCTCTTTGAGAATTACTCATCTCGAGATGACATTCAGTCTATGTGTAAGTGACACAATTAAGTCATTAAACTCAGGTGTCTTAGGCAAACCCAGGCACGAGCTTCCCAGGGAGCACGTGATCCAGCAGAGGCCACCGCCTACCTGAGCATCTGCTTCTTGTGGTTCTCCACCTCCTGCAGCAGAACTTGCTTGTCTGACTCTCTGTCTTGCTCTTTAGCCGCCTGCTCAAGCTCCTACGGGGGAAAACAGCCCTGTGTGAAAATGATTCTAAAGCCAATATACAGGAGTATCAAAAGCTGCATATTTTCAAAACTGCCCTTGAAAGTCCCCTTGGAAGGCAACACACAGGACACAGACATACTGTTTCTGAGGATCCAGACGGCCAGTTTTTCCACCAGCTTTGGACCAGATTGTCTTCTGTGCTAAGCAACAGTTGTTGGCTGGCCACGCAATATGAAAAGCACAAGGCTTCACACCCCAGCACCACATGCAGGGAGACTGGGTGCCCAACACCCACCCAGAGATGGGCAGATCACTGCCACCCGTTACCCTCACTGAGGCACAGCACAGAAACACCTACGCTATCCCAGCTGGTACCTCTCGCTCTGCTGTTTTGAGATGGCACATATACTGCAGTCAAATTCAGGAGCGCTGCATGTGCGGATGTGATGGGTGACTACGAAACAAGGAAGAGGGTGGGCAGAGTGACAGCTGGAAAAATAACCCAGGAGAAGCTGGTGACGGGTTGGGGTGAGTGGGTTGGAGAGGGTGGGAGAGAAAAGAAAATAGTTCAAGTGACCTCAGAGTTTTTAAATTAAACTATTCCAACAACAATGGTGTCCCTGACATCCACTTAACACAGCTGGCAGTGCTCTGCATCTAGAGTTCCTAGCTTTAACCTGGATAGCAGGTTAGTACAGTTACCCTCGTTGTCTAAAAGTTTACCAAAAAGCCCGGACAGCTCTCAGGCAGAGGTTGGTCCTAGGACCGAGCCCCTTTCCTGTTCCCCATTCTTAGCATCCCAGCTCTGCACTGCTCACCTGTATTCGGTGCCGCAACTCTCGAAACTTCTCTTTCACTTTAGTATTCAGTTCAGTAAGTGCACTTAACGGTCCTGAACAATCTCGAATATCCTAGGAGACATTGAAGAGATGAGGGGGCCTTTCTCAAGGCAATGAAACGAAATGACACCATCTATACAGAGAGAGCTGGCTTATGCCACAACTAAGGTTGGCCCACTGACCGTAATTTACCTTGACCTTTTGTTTACCTCTGCAACACAAGTAAACACTGTTATTTATACTGTCTCATCCCTCTTTAAGTAAATTTTGAATAGGTAACATAGAAGCACATGGAGAAACACAACTGTCTTGACTTACTAGTTCCTAAAGTTAAACAGAACGCAACCTGGCAGCTATGAAAGCCTTCAAGTAGCTTGTGTGTTCAACTAAAATGGAAATCCAAAACTGATACTACTAATGTTAGATCTTTGAAAATAGGGATGCTGAGTTCCTGGCATCGTATGACAAGATTAACTTCAATCTGCTTTTACAAGCCGTGTATTAGAAATCACAGTGTTTATAGACACATTCAAGGATGGGTTTAGAATTTGTTTCTGGGCAGTCAGAATTTTTGGAGCCAGGTCTTAGAGCAGGCCATAGAGCCAGGCTATGTGGATTCAGATTCTGGCTGTGTATTTATTAGCTGTACAACCTTGAAAGAAGTCACCTGAGTTCTGTGCCTCAGTTTCCTCATCACATTACCTACCTCATGGAGACCACCTATGTGCATAAAGCATTTGGCAGAGGAGCTGAAACACAGTAAGAGTGCAAGGGATCGAGCTACAACCAATCTTTCTCATTAGACTTTAGAGTTGGCCCGACCTGCTGTAGCTTACACATGGGAAGAAGGGAAGTTCAAGAAGTGCGAACGTGTGCCTCAAGTTTCCTCACTTCTTCTCTGGCTCGCTCATTAAATCACACTTCCTGGCGCCCTGTGATAAACCACTAATTAGGTTTATTTTGCATCTGGTTGGGGGGAGGGAGGGAGAGGGGAGGGGCCTACTTTCCTTCACTTTTTGCCCCAGCTAGTTGCAAACTCCGAATCGACACCTAACGTTTAGTAACATTTGTTGGAAATGGAAACGATCTGCCCCAAACGAAGGTTTAAAACCCTCGGTGTCTTTTTGCTAAATCAAGGAGCCATTTCTACATTCCCGGCTCTCTCCTGTGCCGCCTGGTGTATTGCGCTGCCGCCTTCCACCCCCGGAGGGCTTGAGGCAAAGCACCTCGGGGACCCAGGTCCCTTCCCCAGGCTGACTTTTCCCGGGGGGGGGGTCCCAGCTTCGCCCCCTCTGCCGTCAGATTCAGACCCAGCCGCCCGACTCCATTTCCTCACTTAGCAAATCACAGCTGCGGCGGGTGACGCTCAGTTCACCCTCAGGGCCAGGCGGCCTCGGGGGGCCGGCAGGGGGCGGGGCTGATGCCTCCAGAACCCAACCCGACCCGGGGACGGCGCCGAACGGGGGACCGCACCCTGGGAGGCGGCCCGGGCGCGGCCACAGCCAGGGGGCCGCAGGGGGGTCCCAGCGGGGCCACAGAGGGGCGAGGGACACACGGGTGTGCCGGAAAAGGGCGAGCCAACGGCACCGGGACGGAGGCTGCTCAAGACCGACGGCTCAGGGGAAGGGACGAAAGGGGAGGCCGGAGAGGAGGCAGCCGGCCACAGAGCGGGCGGGCGACCGGGGGGACGCGGCCAGGCCGGGGAAGCTCGGGAGCGAGCCCGTGAGGCGCACCGAAGGCCAGCGGAGCCCGGGGTCGGGGCAGCGGAGCCCGACAGCGGCCCCGGAATCAGTACCTGGATGAGCGCCTTCACCTCCAGGTCGAATTTGACAATCTCTTGGTTACAGATCCGGACGTGGACGTCCTGGGCAGCCGCCATGTTGGAGACGCCGGCTACGGGCAGCGGCGGGGGCCAAGTTCAAACGCGTTTCGCTGCCGCCGGGTCTCGCGACAGCGCCCCCTGGAGGCCGGCCGGAGGCCAGCGAGGGGGGCGGCGCCGCGGCGCGGGGACTTCGCTCCACTCGTGCGGGGACAGGGGCCTCGCGTCCTCGGCTGTGGCCCTAAGGAACGGAGAGCGAGAGAAGAGGGGTGCCGGGAACGCTCCCGCCGCCAGCTCCGAGCGCGTGAGCATTTGGAAACCCTGCGCTCCGCAGACCTGGTATCCGTGGGAGTCTGCACTCCCACCGGCGTGTGGGACAGATGCCTGGGCAGCAGGGGGTGTCCAACGCTGGGATTTTTGCCAATCCGATTAAGTAAAAAAATGCCGATTTAAAATTTGCATCTCTCTTATCATGAATGAGGTTGCGAGTTATTTGTATTTATCTTCTGCTCCTTTCTCTGTTGGGCTGTTGGTCTTTTTCCTGTCAATTCCCAGGAGCTCTTTCTGTATTAGGAGGGTTAGCCCTTCGCCATGAGCTTTTTTTCTTAGTCTATAGAATTTTGAGTTGGCTTAGTGTTTTTTAGTCTTAAAGTTTTGTTGTCTTTTAGAAAAATTTTTGTTTCACATAGAGTTTTATCGGTCTTCACTTACGACTCTTGGATTTGGGATCCAGGTTAGGAAGGCCTTCCCGCACCAACAAGAATTGTTTCTTATGTTTGTTTTTTGTTTACCTTCAGATCTTTACCCATTCTGAAATGCATGGTGGTTTATGGCGTGAGGGACAGAGCCAACTTTACTTTTTCCAGAGGGTTATGCAGTTGTTCCAACACTATTTTCTGAAGAATCCTTTTCACTGGTTCAGGATGCCACGTTTACCATACTAAATTATGTTTTAATGTATTTCCATTCTGTTGGCCTATCAACTCATTCATGCACCAAAGTGACACTTCTACATGTTATAGTTTTATGTGTCTTAATATCTGTTGGGAATTAAATACCCACCACATTCCCCCCTGCATCTCCCATCTGTTATTTTTCCCATGAGAACTTAGGTTAAAGTTTTTTTTAACCTTACTGGTATGTCCTTCCTGGGATGGCATTACATTTTTTATTTAACAGAGGACGACTGACAGCTTTGTGTTATTGACTGCTCCTGTTCAGGAACTTGGTCTGTCTTTGCATTTGTTCAAGTTTTCTGTATCCTTCATAGTATTTTCAAAATTTCTTTAGACCTTGTACATTTTCTGTTAATTCCTGGCAATGTTATTTTAAGATGAAAACTTTTGAAAGAAATAGAGGTTGGCATTTTATAGGTCAAGCATTCAGAATCCTCAAACAGAAGCTCCTTGTTTAGGACAATAAAGCAGCCCGAAGTCGGCGAGCCACAGGTCTGCCCATGTGACCTTGGGCCCCGTTCACATCCTGCTTCTTGCTAGAAATTCCTGTGCAATCGACAGTCCCCAGTTGCATCTCTCTGCAGTTAAAGAAGGAAACACAGCTCCCCTTCCCTCCACCCTTCAACACAGTCCCATCTAACAAGATGACCCAACTCTAGGCCCACCAGCTAGAGGCCATCTTTGAGGGATAGGTATGCAATTTGGTGACCCCCGCTCCCAAACTGCCAATGCTGTTTTGTTCCCATCGCCTTTACCCTCTGATCCTGAGAGTAGCTTTTGGTTCCTCCATCTGCTAGGATTTGGCTTTAGTTCTTTCTGGTTTTCAGATTCTAAGCCCTTTATTTCCCTCCTACACAGACATCCATCCCAATAGTGCCTGTGACTTGGCCTGGTCCCTTAGAGATGAGTATGAATTGTCTCTGAGCAGCAGCCAAGTTCCCTGATGGGACAGCACCTAGCAGGGGCTTCATGAATGCCAGCCTAGCCTTCAAGGACTTTTGAGCTCCTTCTTGCTGTCCTGAACCTTCCGGCTGGGACATTACAGTATTTCCCGACTAGTGTTTTCCTTTGTGGCTGAGGAGCTCTCCTGGTTCCACATCAGTGTGGGTGAGCAACCCCTCTAACTGCGGAACACTCACAGGTTTAGCTTCTTAAGACCTGTACTGACCTGGCTCCCCCAGCTCCTTCACGTTCCTGGACCACAGCAGAGGCTCCTGTGACGGGTGGTCTTCAGAGGTCAAGTCCTGGAGCAGAACGAGTCTGTGCGAGGCCATGTCCACTTTGCTTCCTGACAACCTCACTGTCCCTCAAATGGAGCAAAAGGAGCTTCTTCGAGGGTCCAGGGATGTCAAGGGCATAAGCCTGTCACTTATTCTCTAACACACCTTGATGGACGTGGCACCTGTGTCCTCGCCAGTAACACGCCCAGAGCCCTCTGCAGGTGTAACAACTCTTGTTTTACTGTGAACCTGTTCGCAGCCACCTCCCTCAGCAGATGACGTTCCTGGAGGGCTCCTGAATTTCCTTCGAGCCCAGGACCTAGCACGAGCCCTGGCAGAAGGAACGCATTGCTATCTATGGTGGTGGTAACTCCGGTCCCGACTTAGGCTCTATGTAGTCTTGCTTAGAATTAATCGCACAAGTGTCCGAGTGAGGACTCAAAATATTTTATTGCCCACAGTGAAGCTGCTTGCCCAGAGAATCAAAGAGAGAATTCAGTATGAACTAAACTATGTCCTAAGCTACGAAGAACGCAGGCGTTTATCACAGTGATTCTACGGAACAGCTAAATGTCACTCAAGTGCCCCGCCCCCTTCATTTGGGAATGTCTTTGCAGTGGGTCACCCTGAACAGAGGATGGTTACCTCAGTAAGCGACGGAAAGCCACAGAGACAGAAAAGGGTGAAAACATGAGGCCAACCATTCAAAACCTTTTCATCTTTTTTTATTTTAAATTACAAAGGATGTTGCATACACGATGAGTCTGTATCTGACTAGAAGTGCCGAGGGGTTGGAAGGTGACAGAAAACAAAGGCAACATTGGAATCGCCTTTTCTTCTGGGAAGAAAAACTGCACAACTATTAACCAACATTTAATAGAGTAATTTTTAAACAGCTCATGCGTCAACAAGATAAAATTCTTTCTAGACAAAAGACAAGACTGAATCCAATAAAAAGTTTCATAGCTCCAGCTGGGGGGGCAGGGGAACAAAACCACAGAATATGATAGCGTTACAGACGGGACCCTAAGCAGCTAGGCGAGAGGTTGCCACACTGTGCGAACAAATGCTTTGAATTCTTGCCCTTCCGCTCTTTTGTGACTTCCTAGGCGCGGTCAGCCCTAGCATCACGGTGAACCACAAATGCTAAGTTACAGGACAAGCCCTAGGGGAAGAAGGTAGAAAAGGCAGGCAGTGGAATACAGTGTCATAAAAATGTGCTGGGGAGGCAGATACAGTACACACACACACACTTCTGTTATTTGGTTCAGAAAAAAACAGGGTGAAGGGCAAGACACAGTACTCAGTCCCACTCCCATCCACCCAGATTTAATTAGCGACACCATTGTGTTTACAGTTATGAAAGAAGGAAACCTAGTTCACCTAGAACTTGGCACACTGAAATACCCAACTCTGCTGTTCTGCACTAGGCACCAGGTAAGTCTCCAAAATGCTATTTGAAAGTAGTTTTAAGGTTCTAGTCCCTCATGACTACCTCCAAAATCTCTTTTCTGAACAAAAATGGCAATTTGGCAGAATTCAGGTCCTAGGTGCAATTTCTACAACTTCAGTTTACCGAGCATGAGGATTATGCTTCAACACATAACCCTACCTGCCTATGGAAGTGTCCAACTCTCAGTAGTACATTTCAGCATCTTTCCCCAACATGCTTATTCCTTAAAACGAAACAACCATCCCTACAGCTGACTGATGTTCACTGTTACATCCCAATGTGTTTGAAATATTAAAAAAACATGGAGTCATCTTCTCATAATGCCCTTATTAAGATTACAAAGATTACAAAAGAATCCACAAGTATTGCGGCACTGTGTGAGACATCTGTCATGACTCGGGAGGAACAAGGCCGGAGGCCCGTGCAAAGCTGTGGACACGGCCTCAGTCCCACGGGAAACGGTATTCCACAGCAGGCTTCACTAGGCGGATATTGAAACCTTTAACACTGAAAGCAATGCACTCTCAAAATTCAAGTTTCAAGATTTGGAGAGATGCTAACATTCTGTTACATAATGTACTAGAAAATACTCAAACAGAATCTCAGGAAGACTATATAAAGAAAGGGAACGTAAGTTTTTGTTAATTCCTGCTGAAGGCAACTTGAATTCGTCTCTTAGAAAGTGAACTAAATCTTAGCAGCTAAAATATTTTTAAATGTATGGAATAAAGAAAAGCACATCCATTCTTGACATTTTGGTGAATAAACTAACAGCTTTATTAATGAAGGCAAACATCAGATAATTGTATGAATATTATATATAAAAAGAAATCCAAACTAACAGCATTGTATTCCAAAAGTACTGTACTTCTGTTTCTTTTAAAGAGACTTGTCATCTGTTTATAAAACAAACAAAATGGGTACTCTTCTCCTAAAAAAGTCTGGAAAATGAAAGAGTCCATTTCAAGCTGAGGAACAGAACACACCTTTCTTTAAATGCAGACTATTGCGAAGGAGCAAATAAAGTCAAGCATCAGAAGGAAGATGTATGACAGACTCGTGAGTCAGAAAAAAGGGATGTAGTGAAATTACCGCTGCTCTTTCCCCCTCAGATTCAAAGACCATTCAAAACTGGTCTTTCATACAAATATAAAATAGCTCTGAAGAGAGGGAATTTGAAACCGTACCCATCTGAACTCCTTCATGATGTTTTTGTAATAGCTCTGATTCTCTTACCGAAAAGGTCAAAGTGAAAGATTTAGGAAGTGGAAGGGAATGAAGACATTTTGTTTTCATGTACAAGTAAGGCACAATATAAAGCCACATCATAATCTGTCATGAAGAATAGAGGAAGGGACAAGAATCATACATGGTACAGTAGAACAAGCAATCGTATGGACTGAAAAAGTGTGGCACCCAATTCAAAACTGAGACAAGATCTTAACAAGAACGACTGGACAGCATGCTTTCATATGGAGACAAACTCTATAAAGAATCCAGTGTATCTGAAACGAGGAA